GCCATTTTGGTTTACTTATACATTTGTGTATAAACGTACTATATTTAGAGCGTATTGATTGACATAAAGTTTACAGAAAATATAGTCAGTTTCAAATTAGAGCATTTATTGAACAGCTGATTTTGACAGTTTAGCAGTATTTGTTTTGAGGTAATTTGCCAAAACTGCAAGTTATTTAGCATGTTTAGCACACATCGCAACTTATTTATATTAGTAAAAAAACTGTGATAAATAATATTAGCATTTAGTAAAGCTGTTTTATATATCTAAACAGATCTTGTTTCTATTTTTACAAAGTTTGGACTTTCAAAAACAGTTAAATACTCTGACATTTAGAAATACTTTTTGCGTAATATAACAGTTAGCCCTTCGCATTCAGTAGCGATCAAATCAAACCAAAGGAATAACTAAGTTTAAAGACATTCAAAACATAACTTTTTATAAATAAGTTTTCCAATCAGGCTTGGGTCACCTATGTCAGCACAGGAGCGCTGAGTATTGCGCTGTTGATACCTTTGTAGACGAAACGTCCACCAGCAGAGGCATCGATGTAGTGGTGGTAAAAACCTTCTAAACATACAAGATTTATCACTCAGTACTCCAGATGAGCGTTTAGTCTACATTAGACTCATCGTCGGCACTCGAATCAAAACAGTTGCATGGCAAATTAATGAAGAGCATTGAAAACAAACAGTTTAAAAAAGTAGTGCTAAATCTGGTTTATGCATATATGCCAAAGGTAGGACACCTTATCGTTTCGTATGATTCTAACCTGAATTGCTTTAAGGCTCCGAAATGGACTGAATGTCCTGTACAGTAAATTCTAGAAGACCTTTAAAATCGATCACAAAAGATATGGCCATTTAAAACAAGGGAATATCCATTTCATATTTTGTCAAATTGTAATGTGATCAGGGTTATATTTTTATCATAGCTTATGCCCCAAAAATCCAAGTAAGGTAAGCATTTCCCTGATGAACTACTAATATAAGTGATATTCCACTTTCTTATGTTACAAAGTTTAACATTAACATATCAAGGCTAAGATGTTATTTCCATATTCATTCTTCCGTGAGTCTAACTTTTGTCACTATGCTACGACAGTCTAAAATATGGCCCAATAACTTCCGTTAAAATGGACGATTCAAATGGTCAGAACAATATTGTTTACTTCACATGATGGCAAAACAATCATACTAAGTATGATATTTCTGTCCAACTGTCTCAGAAGAATTGCGTTCACAAGGGTCATTGTGACAGAAGAAGGGTGGGACGCATGCTTGCACGGACGGATAGACACGCTGATTATTTTTGGCCTCCCTCAAATCGATCGGCCCAAATCCCACATGAAATAAAATCCGCAAAATGTGCAGGTGGTTTACGGATCAGACAACATCGATCAAGTTCACATATAACCCCCCCACCCCCCCCCCCCCCCCCCCCTCCCATCTGTATCACATAAACTAATGGAGAGAGATTGGCGCATTGATTGGAAATGTATTTAAATTGATGGAGGCATCGATCATGCCCTAAAACTCACAATAGTACTAGTGTTGCATTTGTTTACATTTTCGTTTTCTGAAAACAAAGTGACATACATAAGCGGTTATATAGAAAAGGTGAAAATATAATATATACATTAACAATATGTTTAACATTCATTGCAAAGTAAGTTACCTGATTAAAATTATGTGTCCGCTTCTTCCGGCGTTATCTGCTGACAAATGGTTATCACGAAATTAACGTAACTGCGCATGCATTTCATTTCAAATCGTCCAAACAATGATGTTATATCTAAAAACAAACACGAATTTTCTTTGCTTATTTTTAAAATACAACTTATAAACGGATTGGGTTAAGAAGATAAAAAGGAAGTCATTTCACGAAAGAACGTTTCATTATCTTCTGATTGTATTGATTACTGTGAAAAGTCATCTGCAATACAAAGAAAAGAAACCAAAAGTGAAACAAATGACCAATGAAATCTTTTAGGTTATATCGTAACCATTGCGGACCAGTGTATGTCAGTGAAATGAAAGGCAGGCTAAACAAACAAAAGATCGATCAGGCATCAACAACATAACAAAGGACTATTTAAATTAACATTTCGATGAGCACGATTATTCCATGCATTCTATTATATCTGGAGTTGGCAGAGGCGGATTTAGGGGGGGGGGGGGGCAAGGGCGCCAGCCCCCCCTTTTTTGTGGGAAAAATGTGGTTGATTATATAGGGAATCACTGAAGCGGTGCCCCTTCTTATGTCGGTCAGTGGCCCCCCTTATGAAAATTCCTGGATCCGCCAGTGGTTGCCAGAGGCGGATTTAGGGGGAGCCAAGGGCACCAGCCCCTCCCTTTTTTTGTGGGAAAAATGTGGTTGATTATATAGGGAATTACTGAAGCGGTGCCCCTTCTTATGGCAGTCAGTGGGCCCCTCTTATGAAAATTTCTGGATCCGCCAATGGTTGCAATCGCGTACAAAAAGAAATATATAATTATAACGTTACGTTGCAAGACGAGAAGGAAAATATTGACTTAATGAACTAGGACCTGCGATACTTTACGGTTGTCAAGATAAAATCAATGGTATTGGTATTCTTTAAGGGCTTGTACACCTTGGTACAATATTTTTCTTAAATCTGCTCCCCGTGGTATACTTAGCGATGGTTATCGTCATGATTTATCTCTGCTTAATACGGGATTTAGGTAATCCCCATCCAGACCCTCTTGTTACGTTCTTATTTAATCGGTTCCTAACTCAACCTAGCATACTGGCAATCGGTGTCCAACGTAACAATACAACAAATTTTTACGTTTCAACGTAATCGCAGCCATTGCCTCAAACAAATCTTGAAGTATTATTTTGTCCAATAGGGCAGACGAAGTTATTGATACATTCTTTCCTGCATTGTGTCAACAATGATGTAATAACACTTTATATGCTAATAACACAACAATACTTCTGAGTTGGATTCGTTTTTATTTTCGGACAAAATTAGGATGATTAACAATTACTAAATAAATACCCTACAAAATAAATACAATAATAAGATTCTGTCCATTTATCAAGTCTAGTACACAGGTTTCTATCCATGTAATAATAAATACGATAAACAGATGCTCTTAATACTATTAGAATATAAATAAATATGTTCCGCGTGCATTTTCAACAATATGCTTATATTGGCATGATTGGTGAGCGTATCTGACAAAGTTTAGTCCATATGCACTTAATGACTTATATTATATAGGCAAGTCTAATATACAAAAATGACAATAAGCGGTTAAAGCAAATAATGACATAAGCAAATTAACAAAACTACAAGCAAAAGCTACATGCTGTTTAAATGCGGGTAGCATAAAATAGCAACAAACAGAATCAAAGCATCGTCGATGTTGTGATCCAGCCATATTCATAGCTAGTCTGATATTTTTTCTGATCATACTTTTTTCAATATTTTTTTCTCTTTTCATTTTCAATCTTACTGTTATTTCTATGTTATTGCCCACAGGTAGGGAATTTCGCAATATTGATGCAAATAATGATATATATATTGATATTTCAATATTAGACTCTGTCAGATTTTTGTTTTATAAATATTTGCAATTTAATGGTATTGACATGAATGGAAAGGGAAATCGTCAAACAAGTAATATATTTTTTATATGCCATTAATAATAACTGGCTTATCAATTTCCAGAAAGAGGTCTTGGAAATGCACTTTCTCAACAACAAAAATAAAAAAAAATAATAACTAATTTTTATCTAAATTTGTGTTCATTCTTCATTAAGAAAAAATACATTTCCTGTATTCAAATTTAAATGTACAAATACCTAATGCTGAGATATTTCCAATTACTGTTAAATAGCAATATAATGGGATATAAATGTAGAACAAACAAATAAATTTTAATTGCAGAAAATGCTCAGGTAAGAGTTATGCATTTTTGTTTATTGTTTCAACCAAATTTCTGATAATTGTAACTAATTAATTAGATCTTGATTATTGACTTATGTCAGATGATAATGTCACTGATTTTACAAGTGAAAAAAAATTGCTTGCATTTTTATACATATTTTTACATTTTTTATCTTTTCTTTGAAAAAAAAAACCACGTTTGATTAATCATTCAGCTAGCTAGCAAGATTAACAGAATATTTTAATGTAGTGTAGATCAAAATAAGTAATACATTTGTATGTTTACTATTGAGTTCAAGAATGTGTGTATTCAGTTAGATGTGTAATAAATTGTGCCTATTTAATTATGTAACAGGTCATGAAATATTAAACATGTTAAGAGCCAGTCTGCCATAAAACCATGCAATATCCCAAATTTCGTCCAAATTGGTAGTTACAACTTGCCAAAATTATATATATTTCCAAAAACTTTAGGTATTCAGGAGTTAAGATAAAAAAAATTTTTTTTGTTAATTTGCCCTATTTTCCATTTAACCGCCTATTTTGCATATTAGTGAATTATTTAAAAAAATGGCTAAAAAATACACCTTATTTAGGCACTTTTTAAGGGTCTGGATAATTTATATAGCTCTTAAATGAAATATTATTTATATTATATTTTGAAGGAACATTAGTTAATAACCAGAACAATAGCTTTTTGAGAATTTCTGACCTTTTGGCAGGTTGCCAGAAAGTTCGCGCAACAGATGTAATAAACAACTTGTATATACTACATGTACTCAATAGCAGTTTTCTCTTAAGATCATATTTTTTTTTCTTAACTTTTATAATATTTTGAAAGGTGTATATCAGTTCTAAGACAGGTAAAGTATTTTAGCTTGGCAAATAATGGAAAATTGATAAAAAATACTCTTAAAATAACCATAAAATGCAATAATTCTAATAGTTTTTGTTTCTTGTTATTTGACTAAAATTTCCTAAAGTAGATGGTAACTGGGCTAAAATTGATTTATTTTATGTTGAAAAATATTTCTGCCTAAATGTAGGGGTTTTTTTCTTTTTTATTTGCAAAATTTAACATTAAGTTACCCAAAGGTAGCCTCACTGTTATTTTTGTGGTTAAATTGTCTCCCTTAATGGAAATCTTTTACTGGCAATATGGCAGCTTTCAGTGATGAAAAGCAGACGTCTATGTTCGGTCCGATTTTTCTAATCTTTGAGGTTGTTGTGGACAATCAAAGCACTATACAACTCATCTGTTAGACAAGGTTTATCTTTGTACAAAGGACACAACCACCACCTTAAATTTATCCACAGCACTGAGGGCAGTGAGGCCTGTTTATCAAACTTTCCACATGTTCCAGGAGGACTATTTTATACACATAAGTGACATTGTTTTCTGTTGATCGTGCTGCTATAAAATTGTCAATATGTCCATGCCGATGGCACAGAGACTTTTTTGGGATATATTGGCGGGACTATTCAACAAAGTGTGGATTAAAAGATCGTCCTGCGGACACTAAGGCAAAACTCCAAAAGGCGAAAAGCTGATAGTGATGGAGGAACTACACTAACCCTATCATAGGAATACTGACTTTTATAATGACAACTAATTCCAAAAGTGTCAGGTAAACTACAAAAATAAATTAGTTAATTATGACAGGGTTGGATCTAGCCAATTAAAAAAAAAGGGGGGTGGTGGTTCTTAGCATGATAAAAAGGGAGGTCCATCCATATGTCCCTATTCAAAAGCATTAATCAGTATAAAAAAGGGAAGGTTCTAACCAACTGGTCCCTAGTCCACATATATATGACGTCTTGAAGGGCTATTTTATTTTTTTTGCTTTGACATGTTTGACGCCTTACTGCGACGCAGGCGCCATAGGCATAGCCATAAAATAAAATGGCCTTTCAAGACGTCATAATTATTTTGACCACCGGTCCCTCCTTGGATGAATCCACCACTGTATTATGAAAAGATTCATTTTTAAAACCGCCACATATGCATGACATAGTGGCGAGGTATATAATTATGTGATACAATGAACATATATACATGTATATGGAAAAAGGCATTTATTTCTAATACATTGTGTACATGCACATTTTGTACTTATTGTAGATATGTGCTATATGCAACACGCACAACCTGACAACCACCATCTAATTGCGAGCTGTAAATTACCAGAAATGAGTCATTAAATTTAAAAAAAACAACCTGCACTACATGTACATGTATATATGGTCAAGATACAACAAATTGTAAATTATAAATTTCTATTGAAGCAAGGACATACCAGCGGTACTACATGTAAAAACCAACCAACAATATATTCCTTAGTTCGAAAGGGCACACATAAATGTATTGAGGTTAAACTTGTTTTGTTTTTGTCACTAAAATCTCAATTCCCCTTTTATTTGTCTGAAATGAAAGCACAAAATCTAGGTTTTTATAGGGTGTGAGTTTCTCCCTTGAAGTTGACGTTTTACATGTAGTCTTGATATTCATTCTGCTCACTGACTTTAATGATGTCTCCATCATGTCCATGTATTCGAATGAGGCATGCCTTTTTGTAAATAAATAAGTTTTAACCTTTGATTTGATTAAACAGATTTGTCTATTATAATTTATTCACTGGCATCATGCAGTAGAACAACAGGTTTATAAATTGATTGATTGTTCACACCTGAAACATTGTTCATCTGGACATTGACATGATCGTGTTTTATTGATGTTTTTAGTGTGTATGGTACCATTGACTGGCTGCATTATTCCATTTTTTCACAAAGGCATACATTGTAGGTTTCTGCAAGCAGTGTTTTACCAAGATTAGACAAACAGTAACTGATGGAGGAATCATAGTTGGTACAAAAAAGATTATGATAAGAAAACATACATGTATGAGAATGTTATTGCATTTATAAAAAAAGGAGTGATTTGAATAGATTGCAAATGTGACAATGCTCCACAAGAGAATAGATGACATAAAAAGTAACAACTATAGGTCACTGTATGGCCTTAAACAATGAACAAAGCCCATACCGCATAGTCAGCTATCAAAGGCCCAGAAATCACAAATGTTAAACTATTTAGAATGAGTAAATATATGTACAAAACAATGAACGAAAAACAAATATGGTATACAGCAACAAACAACAACCACTTTGAGATTAAATTCGTTTGAAGGCGCCAACCCTCATCTAACCTGGGACAGTAGTGTAACAGTACAACATAAGAAATCAGTCATGTGTCAGTTGAGGCTTAACTCATCAGATTGACACAAAGCATAAATACATCTAACAAAATCAGAGATCGGATGTGGCAATGTTCTTATACATCCCTACATAGTTTATTTACACATGTTACAGGGGCAATTGAAAGGCATTTTGAACATTTTAAATTGATTGTAAAATGTACAGAGATACATTTAGTGGGAAGGGGTGGAGGTTAGGGAATCATATAACAACCAGTGGTAAAATTTTAAACCATTACCAAAAAAGTGATAATGTCAAAAATATTACTGTAAATTCTGAAATTATTGCGATGTTTTTGTTATTGCGAAAATGCGATAGGGTTATAATCGCACTAATTTAAACTCGCATTTTGAAATTTACTACATGTATATGAATTAAACAGGATTTTTCTGAATATTGCAAAAATTAAATTCGCATTTCAGTCTAAAATTACATTTCAAAATCGCAGTTATTAATGCACGCAATAATTTCTGAATTTACAGTACTGGGTATAGCTTTGTATTAGTTTTATCATGGACTTGGATTCAATCAAGGACAACATATTAGAATTTCCTAATAAACATAAATAATAAGGTCATTATGACCTATATTTTCACTTAAGTGACACTAGATCATGTAGATATAGTCATGAAACATGTAGTATAGCTATGATATTTGACCAGTGGATAGGTTTTGGGTAGAGCAATCGTGTAAATAATAAAAATAAGGCCACCTTGACCTACATTTTCCACATGAGTGACATGGTTAAGTTTTTTGCATTAAGGTCAATATCTCAGGTACAAAATTGTATAGCTTTGATACTTAACCAGTGTATTGATTTTGGATAGTCCAACATGATTCACTTTTATAAAGGTAATGTTGACCTACATTTTCCACTTGAGCAACTTTGTTAATTTTGTGTGTTTAGGTCTCTCTGTAAGATAATAGACATTGTTTGGGTTTATTTGGTTAGTACTTCGCTTGTGTAAATAGAATACGTGTGAACAGTTCTAATTGCTTTTAATGACTCCACTTGCTTGTATGACTACAATAACGTAATAAACGTGTTGACGTTACAAAGGTAACGTTAGTTACAGTCCGTGAAAGAATAGCGGCAAAATACTTGACACTGGGGGCGCCGAGAAGTGAAAATGATAAAAATTCTTAATAAATACATAGATATCGCAAATATTCACAGTTTAACTTAAAGTCAATGTATGTAGAAAATAAAAATCATTTGAAAAATTAAAGTCTGTATAAGTATAAAATTAAAACATCAACTGGCGAATCTTTTCCCTGGCGTCCTTCTTCGATTTACGTTCTTTGGTGTCAAGTGTTGATTGAAACAAATCGCAAGAAACCTCTATCGGGTATAACTTTGAAATTGGACGATTTGTATGTCCATTGTTTGTACGCCAATTCACTGCTCTAACGAGTCCATCCTTGCCAACCAATAGTTCATCTACAATGGCTAGCTTCCAATTAATTCTAGGCGAATGTTCATGTATTTGAACCACATCACCAACTTTGATAGTCTGATTATTGTGTCCTAAAGCCGTGTGGTATTCCCTTAATGATGTAAGATATTCATTTTTCCATCTTCGTCGAAAATGTTGAATAATGTTGTGCTGATCCTGTAGACGTTGATTCAAGTTGTTATGTGTACTTGGTTCAAAATTAATCAAATTGTTCATGTTTGTAGACGGATACGGTAAACATCTTATTCTCCGGCCACAAAGAAGATGAGAAGGTGTCAATGGTTCAGGTTCGTTGACATCTGATGACACGTACGTGATTGGTCGGTCGTTCAATGTAGATTCAATCTCAGTGATGACTGTCTGTAATGTTTCCATGCGTATACATTTACTTCCTATTACTTTCTTTAAAGTTGTTTTGGTTAGTCCGATCATACGTTCCCAGAATCCTCCGTACCAAGGTGCTCCTTTTGGAATAAATTTCCATTCTGTTCCTTGATCTTGTATTTTTTCTAATAAAGATTGCGAATTCGTTAGCCGTTGAATTTCATTACTGGCGGCTATGTAAGTTGATGCATTGTCTGAAATCATTGTTTTTGGTAACGATCTACGACTACGATTGAACGACCGACCAATCACGTACGTGTCATCAGATGTCAACGAACCTGAACCATTGACACCTTCTCATCTTCTTTGTGGCCGGAGAATAAGATGTTTACCGTATCCGTCTACAAACATGAACAATTTGATTTGTGTTGTGATTAATATTGCTTGTTGTTGGAAATGTTGAAATATGTGCTGCTGGACCTTGATTTAAAAAATCACTCACCGTAGGTTTTAGAACGCTAGCTCCTGAGTTTGATGTAATGTCCTTGAATTTGTGAATTGACACTTCCAAATGTAAATTGAATTCATCACTATCCAAAATTTCCTGTTCCATATCTCCGACTTCTGTTCCATCTAAAATCTGTGTGTCCAAAGTTTCAAGTAAGTTCCTCTTCTTCATCAGAGTGTCTGTGCCTGCCGAAAGTTCTTGGTTCTCGATTTCATTTTCTGAAATTTTCTGGTTAGTTCTATTGATTAGTCTTGTGACGGCGCTTCTGTGTCCACCACGAATTGCTTTCAGCTTCTCCATGAGTCACGGCACCAATGTTTGGGTTTATTTGGTTAGTACTTCGCTTGTGTAAATAGAATACGTGTGAACAGTTCTAATTGCTTTTAATGACTCCACTTGCTTGTATGACTACAATAACGTAATAAACGTGTTGACGTTACAAAGGTAACGTTAGTTACAGTCCGTGAAAGAATAGCGGCAAAATACTTGACAGACATGGTATTACATTGATACTTGACTATAGCTAGTGGATAGATATCTTGGGTAGTACAACATGGTTACTATTGATAAGGTCAATTTGGCCTACAAATTCTGCATGAAAGATTTGGTTAAGTTTTTGCATTAAGACATTGAGGTTTTATCAGATATACTAGATGTGGTAAAGCAATGATTTTACTCCAACAGTTGAGGAATCTTATATATGTTTTTTCATTGGGTCCCAACCAAATAGATTTCATAGTTATCTCATATATCATGGACATTGTATACATGTATTTGAGAATTCATTTATCTTTAATTTAATAAGGGATATATAAGTTTTTTAAAGTACATTTGTAGATTAATTTTTATCTTTTTAGATGGAGATGAAAGCCAAATTAAAGATGCTCAGGTTCTCATAGGAGTATATTCACAGCATCAACTAATTTTTCATAATATTTAGCATCAGATTGGGAAACAGATAACATTTCTGACCGGGAGAAACTCAACAGAGGCTTGCATTTCCTTTGAAATGGAAAGTATCCACCATTTAGGAACCAATTGAATCTTGCATGGGATGATGTATCAAAAAGTACAATGGCTTTTTCTACATAATTATCATCAGAAATTATTGATTTGATTTTGAATTATATTGTACCTGCACAGTACAAGTCGATAAAGTGTTCTGATCTGTAGTAGAAAAGAGGAAAACAGACGAAGCACAGTCAATATTACAACAGGATGTTTTGACCGAAGCTATTATTGATGCATACTTACTAACTTAGACCTGAATAGTCATCCGACCTGGCTTCAGATCTTATCACTGTTTGCATGTATTCAGACCGTTTTGGTAGACTTCGCTAATATTATATGACAGTAAAACTATAAGAAAACAGCCTGAATAATTATATAACCATTTTGATGAAAATGTTTGCACCACAGTTGAACCATTTATCTGTATATTTGTTTTTATTCATGAAGTTTAAAATAAATTTTATTTCCATTTGAAATATTTTTGTTTGTCTGTGGTAGTAATAGGCTAACTACATCTTACATGTCTTATTCACATGCCTCAAGTTATTGGAGATTACATTCTATGAGGAAACTTAACATTGTTGTTATGTCAACTGTTATCCCAGAAGCTACATAGGGATCACTATCTGTCATTCATGTCACAAAATTTAAGTAACACTTTTCTCAGCATCTGCTTGATATTTGACAAAAAGCTTATAAAGATTAATTCCAATATAAAAAAAATGGACCTCCTTTTCTAGGTAAGAAGCACTCAGTCTCAATTTTTATATGTGTATGTAACATCATCAAATACAACATGTATTTACATATCAATACTGAACAAAAGTAGCCATATCCATTTTAGACAACAAATGTCTAAAATTAGCACAAATGCTAAAATTGTGAATATTTCAGAAATTTTACATAAATTAATGATGATAGTACCTGTTGAATGTTCATAGTATTCTAAAAAAAACAGCCCATTAAAAAAAGATTTTAAATCATGAAAGTAACTGAAGTATTCTACTTTTGAAAAGTGACTTCAATAAGTAGCGATAAGTTAATACATGTATTTTAAACAAATTGAAAAATGCTAAATTTTGGGGCTTAAAAGGGGTCTTTCCAGGCCTACTTCTGGAGTATATTTTCAATTAAAACTAAGTTAAACTGAGTTTAATCAAACAAGATAAGCAATAAACATTATATCTGTCATTATTTACTTATATTTTTACTATCACATACATTTGTAAAGTTTCTCTTGTAACCAATAAAAAAATCATAAATACGGCAAAATTGCCATCTTGTCCATCTTAAATTGTTATTTTATCGTAAGAAGGTATCATTTGCCGAGCACCATTTTCTTACGTTTTGAAGATAAATATATAAGCTTCATGCTGTATTACATTTTATTAAAAACAAAACATGATCTTACAAGATTCAGGTCTTTAAAAAAGACAAATTTTTCTGAATCGGCCCTTTTTCAAAACCATGCAATATCAACCTGCCAGTAGGGGTATTGAGAAATGTCAAAACTTTGAAAACTATCCTAATTTTCTTTCATTTTAAGTTGTTTGTAAAGGTATTAGTTATCATTAAGCTGCAACTTTTCTATAATAATACAAGAAAACAGGTCAAAATACCCTAAAATAGGCTTAAAATGGCCTTTTGTCAGTACAGAAATGGACAATTATCGAATGTTCTGCATACACAAATAATGGCTGAATATTTTTTCAAAACATTTTGCACAAATAGTTATTACATATAAGGTATCAAAAATACAAAATATCAGTCTGATTGGAAAATTTTGGATTCCGACCATTTTGTATGATTTTACCACAGACTGGCTCTTAAATGTGGTGAATTAAGACTGTGGTTGTTTCCAATTAATACTTACACTTTTGAGTGTAATTATTTGAAAATCATGACAGTTTATAATCATACTGACTCTTACTTGCCTATGGAAAGAATTGGAGTAATACCATTTCAAAAAAGTGAGGGAATCAACTTAGATATATTAACACACATGTTAAATTTCATAGAACAAAAACTTACACAAGCATAAGATAATAATATAATACTTTCAAAATTGTTATCAACTGATTCAATTGATGTAAAAATACTTTTTCAAATTAATTCATCAATAGTAAATCATTATAAATTTGAGGGTTGTTCGACCAATCCTTTCTTAATTTAAGGGCAAATAACATGTCAAAAGTTGGCAGTTGATGATTAAAATGGTGTAGAAAATTTCTGCAAGTCATAAAAACACATAATTAGTTTCATGACATGTCTTCAACTTAGTATTCTGCACCATCTCCAAAAACAGAGTGATCGCATAGGTCCAGCATGGCTGAATAAAAAACGAACATTACAAAAAGCACACTTAGCTTTCACATGAGGTGCAAAGGCCTCCTGAAAAATAAATCTTACTTCTTTCCAGGATTACTGAAAATATACCTGTATATAGAATATAGAAAACTATGAAAGAATGAATCAAACTTAGATCCTATCAAATTTCACATATGACTTTTTCCAACATTTTATCAAAAGTGATGACCAGAATAAAAGATCAAAAGAAATATAGCGCCAAAGCACAATGTCCAATAGAAATAAAGTAAATGTGCGATCCATGGCCAATGAACATGGTAAAAAAATCTTTTAACTCAAATGCTAGTACAGTAAACCAAAGTTACACAAACAAGTAGAAAACGTCGCATGTCAATAAGTCCAAATGTCAAATAAGTAAATACAATAAATTAAGCACATAAATATACTAATCAATTAATTGCCATCTGTAATTAATATACTCATAACTTTAATTATAATCAATATAAGTCATATATAGTTTCAAACCACAATTGAAGCTTAACTGTGCTATTCATAAGATTACTCATACGTTAAATGATTGCAGGTCGTGTATGTCAAAGTCTATAGATACTCTGCGGAAGTAGCAATTTCGGTCTTACTGACATTTACGTTTCTCATGCGTGACTTCTGATGCATGAGATGATTGTCCGTATTCTTTATCCAGTGTTCGTGGTGCATTGTTGTTCTGATCACTTTTAAATTTGAATCCTGGGTCATTGAACTTTCTAGATATGAATTCAACAAAAATACGAAAATAGCGAATACGGAACATTATTTGACTTCTTCTTTTTTGTTGCATTATCCATCCCTCTATGTAGTAGCGATGGTGGCCATTACTCACTATCGGGTTGATTCCTACTGAAGAGTCGAAGTAACTTAGAAGCTTCTCGTATACAGGACTTCTGATAAAATATCCTGTAAGTCATACAAGCGTTTCACATCCTTTATGAAAGTTGCTGATCTTTGACTTGAGCGACGTTTCTATCATTTACGGGCTCCGGAAACGTTCTTCTAGCCTTTGCCATATCTTGCGTAATCCCGTTGGTGGATCATTTATGTTCGATGTCCGAATGCTTTGACCAACTTGGATGATTCGGGAGCGAGCCACTTAATGAGAAGTTTGATTTCTTTCACCGCGGTTACTTAACGTTCCCTTGTAATAGCTTTGAAAACCGATTTCCAAAGTGCATACGATTCGAGGCGGTCATTGAAACGGTTAAATCGTGACATCAAACGACCTTTCTTTACAAGAAAACATGAAAATTCGCTCAAAATAGGGTTGTTGTCAACATCTTAGGGTCTAAGATTACGTAGAAATGTTGTTCGGTGCATCAATTCCACTCCGCTGTGTAAGAGAAAAGGTCTTTATACCGTGAGCTATAGCAGGCTCCGATACAGGTATTTGATCCTGGTTTGCACTTGGGGTAGTAGTACTAGCATGATCTCCTGTGTAAAGATTACTCTGAATCGGATAATCACGGTAGCTCGGACCGTTAAATATACACCCGACATCATGCTATGACCCACCTTCTTCCATAGCTACCTTGTACTCTGCACACGCTACATCAGCTTCCTTTTGCTTACCAAGAAATTCGAGATCTGTTTGAATGTCCATCTTTTTTTCAGTATTTGTGCATCTGCTTTCTTAAGTTCGGCTTCCTTGGCTGCGAATTCTAATAATGTTTTTGTAGCTTTAGCTGATAGTTCTAGAACGCTATACACTGATTCGTGAATTTCGAATTCTTGGAGGCTATCTGTCGTGTTTCTCCTTTTGAGATATTGAGAGTTTTCTTCTGCCATATAGAGGTATGTGGTGAGCTCATTTTCAATCCTTTTTTGCACACAGATATTAATTCGTTAGTTTGATCTTCAAATTTGAACGTTCCAATTTCATATAGTCAACATTTCCTTTAAATAGTGACAGTTTTGAAAAAGTTATTCGTAACTGTTTTATCGTATTCCTCTTTTGTCTTAGGGGTCAGTGTTCTCAATCGTGTTTCCTTTTCTTGCTTTTCTCCTAGAACGTCTGATCAGCCGTGTTGATTTCTAATGAATCCATGTTACTCAGTGCTGTGTTGAATCTCTTCACTGTTCTGTCACTAAGTAATGTTACTAATGCAGACAGTTTAAACCATTTTATTCTTCAATGTTGACCGAACAAGATAGATGTGAAGAGCTACAAAGAAAAGTATAAACTTCTTTTAAACAATGTTAATACAACATATAATAGAAAATACCAACATACCAGGCGTTGCTAGTTGTTATATGAAATGATAAAAAAATAATAAATAACAATTATGACACGAAATGCGTTCCATACATTTTTTTACACGAAAAAAAGAGGTATAGAGTTAACATCTGAAAACCCGATAAAATGGAAATATCAGGTCAAGGAAATTACAAAACGGGAAAATCGTATGTATTAACCACGTAAGTATCATGTTAGGTAAATTGTTTTTCATAAACAATGTATTTTGAAAGAAAAAAAAAAAAAAGAAACAACACGTTTTACATGTCATGTGTCCGAAGCGCTTTTCTGGAATAACATTCACCAGGAACGCTCAAAGCCGATTTTTGTAAGCCAAGAATGTATAATAATCTAAACAGATGAAGAGCTATGTGACCAAAAAGGACCTTTAAAAATAGTCAAACTTATTTAAGGTAAACTTTGCCTGAGGGAGTTAAAACCGTATAGTTCAAAACATTTTTAACGGACAATTTTGGACAGTATTGTTAAAAATCATGTCAGTACCGAAGCACTGACTACTGAGCTGATGATACCCTCATGTACATGTGCTGGTAGATTTGTTTGTTATTTTGCCTTTTTTTAACTTGTGCAAGATCGAGTTTTTCGGAGGAAAAATATCGATACCTACGAATTGACATGGCTACGATCAATGAACCGATAACGATCATTTTGACATATTATACCAAAAAATCTCGTAAACTTTTTATTCAGAATGGGACATGTCACTTAAAAAATAAATAAATTTAAGATTAGTTTTGAGCATTTATTAAAGAGATTGTATCGTAGATCGTCATAAAGTGAGCATTCAATTAGAAAGAGTGTTTCTGTTTCAACGCTGTTGAAATTGCATGAATACACATATTCTGTGTTCAATGGGTGTAGGCGGAGTGAACCGGAGCGAAACAGAGCCATGGTACGTCGTTCAGTTTGGAAAATGTTCAGACGGACGTAGCGTTCTATTTTCACACATTGTTTGTATCGCCTATAAGTTCGTAATTTATTTCCGTTCTGTGAGTTACGTAAATCATTACAGACTTCTCCGTGTTATCTAATACAGTTAATTGTTACGCATCACAGTTTTTGTAGATACAGATAAACTTTACACAAGATCTCTCACATTTAACAAATCAACAGTTTTTTTCCACCTGCAAAGCCCACCCTTCTCTATACCTTGATGTCCAAAGTATCGTATTACAGTTTCTGTATTGATCAGAGTGTAAAAGTCTACACAAAAGTCCACAGTTGTTAATTCGCTGTTTATAGTAAAGCACGACGTCCAGTCAATATCGCCGCGCGAATCTAAATTAGACGTTTGTTTTCCAACGTACAAAAAAAATGTATATGCCCTGATTTGAATTGTCGATATAGCACTTAACGATTTAGTGCCCCAAATACCACTACCATAAAGAAGAACTGGCTCCACCATTGATGTATAGTTTCGTGCAAACCCTATATGTCTTTCCACCCAACATAGACGCCTTTGTCATTAACGCTCCAAGGGCACGACTCGCCGCTTTTGATAGTTCCGTTTTTTAAATGTCAAGTACTCGTCCATCCAGACACCTAAGTATTTGTAAGACTCACAGTAATCAAGGTTATTGCCGGAACAATTGAAAATCCGATCTGACCTTGCAATTGGTTGATTTCGGAAATGTACGATTTTAGTTTTGTTAATGTTAATTGAAAGTTTCCATGTAGCGCACCAGTCCAATACGACATCCAGCATTCGTTGTAAATTATTT